GCGGCATGCGAACGTTGCCACTGGGGCCTTCGGTGGAGCTCCTTATGGGGCCACGAAACGTGTGAGGGGTGCACCGAAGTTGGTGTGGGGGCGGCATGCGAACGCAGCCACTGGGGCCTTCGGTGGAGCTCCCTGTGGGGCCACGAAACGTGTGAGGGGTGTGCCGAAATTGGTGTGGGGGCGGCATGCGAACGCAGCCACTGGGGCCTTCGGTGGAGCTCCCTATGGTGCCACGAAACGTGTGAGGGGTGTGCCGAAATGGGTGTGGGGGCGCATGCGAACCCAGTCACTGGGGCCTTCAGTGGAAATCCCCATGGGGCCACGAAACGTGTGAGGGATGTGCCGAAATGGGTGTTGGGGAGGCATACGAACCATGCCACTGGGGCCTTCGGTGGAGCTCCCTATGGGGCCACGAAACGTGTGAGGGGTGTGCCACGAAACTGGGGGTGTGCCGAAATGGGTGTGGGGAGGCATGCGCGGACCCTGCCACTGGGGCCTTCGGTGGAGCTCCCTATGGGGCCACGAAACGTGTGAGGGGTGTGCCGAAATGGGTGTGGGGAGGCATGCGGACCCTGCCACTGGGGCCTTCGGTGGAGCTCCCTATGGGGCCACGAAACGTGTGAGGGGTGTGCCGAAATGGGTGGTGGGGAGGCATGCGAACCCTGCCACTGGGGCCTTCGGTGGAGCTCCCTATGGGGCCACGAAACGTGTGAGGGGTGTGCCGAAATGGGTGGTGGGGAGGCATGCGACCCTGCCACTGGGGCCTTCGGTGGAGCTCCCATGGGGCCACCTTCGGTGGAGCTCCCCATGGGGCCACGAAACGTGTGAGGGGTGTGCCGAGATGGGTGGTGGGGAGGCATGCGAACCCTGCCACTGGGGCATTCGGTGGAGCTCCCTATGGGGCCACGAAACGTGTGAAGGTGATGATGATGATGATGGGAGGAGGGAGGGGGGGAGGAGGAGGAGGTGAGGAACGCGGGGCGCCGTCTCTTCAAAACGAGGACCCAACACCACAGGATGGTTGGGAAAAACCTAGAGCAACTCAATGATGTTGGCATCTTCGGGCCCTCCTGGAGGACCTCTTGGAGGCCTCTTGGGCCGTCTTGAAGGCCTCTTGGTGGCCTCTTGGGCCGTCTTGGGCCATCTTGAGGCCATCTTAGGCCATCTTGGGTGCATCTTCGGCCGTCTTGGAGGCATCTTGGGGCCGTCTGAGCCGTCTTCGAGGCCATCTTGGCCGTCTTGGAGGTCTTTTGGAGCCCTCTCGGGGCCGTCTTGGCGGCATCTTGGGCCGTCATGGTGCCATCTTGGAGGCCTCGTGGGCGATCTTGCGGCGATCTTGGCGGCCTCTTGGGCCGTCTTCAACCGTCGGAATGCCGAAAAACCTAAAAACAATTAGCCTGGCGAAGGACCCAACCATATGCAGTTGTGAGTAATGCTGGTGTGAGTACCGTCTTCGGTGGATCTCCCTATGGGGCCACGAACCGTTTGAGGGGTGTGCCGAAATGGGTGTGGGGGCGGCATGCGAACGTTGCCACTGGGGCCTTCGGTGGAGCTCCTTATGGGGCCACGAAACGTGTGAGGGGTGCACCGAAGTTGGTGTGGGGGCGGCATGCGAACGCAGCCACTGGGGCCTTCGGTGGAGCTCCCTGTGGGGCCACGAAACGTGTGAGGGGTGTGCCGAAATTGGTGTGGGGGCGGCATGCGAACGCAGCCACTGGGGCCTTCGGTGGAGCTCCCTATGGTGCCACGAAACGTGTGAGGGGTGTGCCGAAATGGGTGTGGGGGCGCATGCGAACCCAGTCACTGGGGCCTTCAGTGGAAATCCCCATGGGGCCACGAAACGTGTGAGGGATGTGCCGAAATGGGTGTTGGGGAGGCATACGAACCAGGCCACTGGGGCCTTCGGTGGAGCTCCCTATGGGGCCACGAAACGTGTGAGGGGTGTGCCGAAATGGGTGGTGGGGAGGCATGCGAACCCTGCCACTGGGGCCTTCGGTGGAGCTCCCTATGGGGCCACGAAACGTGTGAGGGGTGTGCCGAAATGGGTGGTGGGGAGGCATGCGAACCCTGCCACTGGGGCCTTCGGTGGAGCTCCCTATGGGGACGGGGTGTGCCGAAATGGGTGGTGGGGAGGCATGCGGACCCTGCCACTGGGGCCTTCGGTGGAGCTCCCTATGGGGCCACCTGGGTGGTGGGGAGGCATGCGAACCCTGCCACTGGGGCCTTCGGTGGAGCTCCCTATGGGGCCACGAAACGTGTGAGGGGTGTGCCGAAATAGGTGGTGGGGAGGCATGCGGACCCTGCCACTGGGGCCTTCGGTGGAGCTCCCTATGGGGCCACGAAACGTGCGAGGGGTGTGCCGAGATGGGTGGTGGGGAGGCATGCGAACCCTGCCACTGGGGCCTTCGGTGGAGCTCCCTATGGGGCCACGAAACGTGTGAAGGTGATGATGATGATGATGGGAGGAGGGAGGGGGGGGGGAGGAGGAGGAGGTGAGGAACGGGGGGCGCCGTCTCTTCAAAACGAGGACCCAACACCACAGGATGGTTGGGAACTAACGACTTTGGCATCTTCGGGCCCTCCTGGAAGCATCTTGGGCCGTCTTGGGGGCCTCTTGGGGGCCTGTTGGGCCGTCTTGATCCATTTTGAGGCCATCTTAGACCGTCTTGGGTACATCTTGGGCCGTCTTGGAGGCATCTTGGGGCCGTATTAGCCGTCTTCGAGGCTATATTGTCCATCTCAGAGGCCATCTTGAGCCATCTTGAGCGAAGAAGCCTACGAGATGGACACCCTGGCGGGACGCGCCGGAGCCCCAGGGCGAGATCTTTTGGAAAAAGAGGAAAAACCAAAACCGAGAGGATCTGGCATGCCAGGCACCCCTGCGATGAATCGACAGGGGGCGGCGGATGGCGGCGGATTTGGGTCGGGGTGTCTTCGTTGTGACCGAGGTTCGCCGTATCCATTTGCCTGCGGCAAATTCCCACCACAGTGCCAACCGACATGCTGATTCGCGACTGATCGAGGGTGGCAGAGCCGTGATGGTGATGATGATATGGTGGTGGTGGTGGTGGTCATGATGATGCGGATGATTTGGATGTTGATGATATTGATGATGATGATGATGATGATGATGAGGATGATGAGGATGATGAGGATGATAGTGATGGTGATGGTGATGGTGATGACGATGACGATGACGACGATGATGATGATGATTTGATGGGAATGATGATGATGCGGATGATTAGCATGATGTGGGCGAGGATGATGATGAAGATGATTTGGATGTTGATGATATTGATGATGATGATGATGCTGTTGGTGCTCATGATGATGGTGATGGTGATGACGATGACGACGATAATGATGATTTGATGGGAATGATGATGATGATGCGGATGATTAGCATGATGTGGGCGAGGATGATGATGATGATGATGATGATGATGATGATGATGATGATGATGCTAGTGATAATGACGGTGCTGATGATGTGGATGTGGATGGTGATGGTGATGATGAGGATGATGATGATGTTGATGATGCTCATCATGATCATGATGATGATGATGCTGATGATGATGATGATGAGGATCATCATCATAATGACCACGATGATCATCTCATGATGATCATGATGATGATGCAGTTGGTGATGATGATGATGATGGTGATGGTGATGGTGATGGTGATGGTGATGGTGATGGTGATGATGATGATGATGATGATGATGATGATGATGATGATGATGATGATGATGATCATGATGATCATGAGGAGGCGGAGGAGCAGCAGCAGCAAGAGGATGAGGAAGAGGAGGAGAAACACTTGTGCCGTCACTATTTGAGGAGCTCTCCTGGAACTCGTGTGGGCCGTCTTGGGGCTGCCTCGTGGCTTCTGTGCTGTGAGGCAGTGTTGGGATTCCTTGGTGCCATCTTGGGCCGCCGCGGGGGCCATCTTACGCCGTCTTGGGGCTGTCCCGGGGCGTCTTGGGGCCCTCTTGGCCGTATGGTGGGTGTCTGGGGGCCGTCAAGAGCTGTCTTTGGCTGTCGAATGGCCTTCTAAGGCCGTAGTGAGCCCCACGGGATGCCTTCTTGGGCCGTGTTGGGGCCGTCTTGGATGCCTCTTGGGGCATCGTGGGATTTCTTTCGCCATCTCGGGATTTCCTTGGGAGCCGTAGGCCCTTTTTGGGCCATCGTAAAGGCTTCTTGGGCCGTCTTGAGTTGACGGAAGCCCGAAAAGGCGAGAATGCGAACATCATTCGAAACTCAAGGGGAATTAGTGCGTTTGCATTCTTCGGACCCTGTTGGAGGTCCTCGTGTGGCCTCTTGGGCCCTCTTGTACGTCTTGAAGGGCATCTCTGATGGCCTTGGGGCCATCTTGGGCCGTCTTCGAGGCATATTGGGCCATCTTGGTGACCTTGGTTGCTTGCATGGGCCGTCTTTGAAGCTCGGGACGCGGATCCATCGTTGTTTAGCGAGGGCTCGTGGCCTCGGGTGCACGGATCCACTCATTTTGTTACGAGGCATCGTGGCCTGGGGATGCGGTGAGCGACACATAGGGAAGCTGGTGGGTTCGAGACTGCTCCTTCTTAGAATACAGACACCGTACCAGCCATCCCTTGGCATTCTTCTACGCTTCAGCGTGGGTAAGGCACAGTGGCGGATTCAGCGTGCCTTTTGGCAGCACGAATGCATGTAAAGGTGTACGATTACGCGTATCTATTCTCCATGGCTTGTAAATGTTCGCTTTGACACCCCATTGTTCGGTAGCAAAACATGAGACCCTTGTATGCCTCTAGCTCAGCCTTAGAGCGTGCTAGCGTTAGCTAGTGTCTGGTAGTCGGTGAGAGCAACGGTTTAGCGTCGATCAGCGTCGACTAGCGTCGGTTCGCGTTGACTTAGCATCGGCTAGCGGCAATTAGCGCCGAGTCGCGAGAACCAACAAGATGGTATGGGAGGCTACCATGAGTTCGCGCACCCATCGCGCACCGCCTTCAGGCGGCGAGGCCGTGCCCGTGCCGCCGGCGCCGCCGTGGCCGAGCTGCGCAAGGGCTGGGCGGCGCAGCGCTGGCACAAGGCCGCGCGGGTGGCGCGCGCGGCGCGGCAGTTGCAGGACCCCGTTTCTCCCTTCTGCTGTTGCTCCAGGCCCAGGTGCTTCATTATATAATGATAGAATCATGGTGTGCGCTGGCGCGTGTACAAGTCTGACACCAAATCACAGGGCTGGGATGTACAGATAGCGAGTGTAGCGAGCATCCATCCCGCCGGCGTCTGGTTCAGGGCGCCAGCGTCATATACTACATGTTTGAGCCGCTAGGTTTACCAGCGTTTGTCACTACTGCATCGGTAGCAAGGATCGATCAATCCATCCTACTGCGACGTCAGAGCGTCACTGTTGGCTAGCAGGTGGAAGCGCCACTAGCGGGAACGTTATGCCCCCTGTGGTCGGTGCCCGCCTGACTACCCCGAAAAGCGTAAACGCCACGGCTCTACGCCATTACGCTCCGAAGTACAGCGAATTTCGGAACAAGTTAGCGTACCCACGCCCTTTGCGCGGAAGCGCTATCCCCATACTTTTAAACCAGCACGGGGACATGCCTCCACAGTCGATTCGCCGACTCACGGCGACAGATACCCCAAAGGTAACTAGCAACACCAGCTATGACCCAATATGGGAGCAACGCTTGAAGTTCATCATTTTTGGCATTATCTGGTTTATCGTTGGCTGTGCTACTCGTTGCATGCAACGCGGTAGTCACAACGACGGAGGCGATAATACTACTCGGGGCCCCTATTTGGACTCCTCGGGGAGCGTGTTGTTTCTCGAGTTCATTCGTGAAGTCCATGCGCGGCTGAATGTCACCAGCGCCCGCGTGACTCCACAACGACAGGCTGCATGCCTGAAACTAGGTCGTGGGGGGTTAGCACGCACCACGGCGATGCGAATCCCACCACAGATCATCAACTACGGCGTGCAAGTACAAGGGGTCCACACTGACCGTGTCACGTACATTCTTTTCTAACACCAAATTCGAGAACCTGGAGGACGAGCGTCACCGCGCCTCAAATACGGCGCTCATCGGCTTCAGGCCCGAACCAGAGACGCGGCCGCGCCTATCAACGCATGGGCGGACGACCTACGTAACCCAGATGAGACTACAGCACTACTAACTATAACTCCTCAGGGCCAGGGAACTGGCAAAAACAAATTCAACACCATCATCACGTAGCTAGGGACAGCGTTCCAACCCTACCTCCTGCACTGCACCTGACAGCCATAACGTCCTATGAGGATCAGCCTCTGACGGAAACTCGCCCTTCCATTGTGGGACCGATGCCGACATGTTATCATCGGACGGAGTTGAAGTTGTAGATATGTCGGACTTACCCCACGGACTAGAAAATGCGAAGACCGCTGAATATTGTGAAGGCCTGGCGGCCGGTGCCGCCGACCCTGAAAGACATCGACGACGACCAGGAGGGGAAGGATGAGGAGAAGGAGGAGGATGAGGAGGAGGAGGAGGAAAAGGTCGAGGAAAAGGACTTTGGACCTGCTGGGGAGGAGGACTGGAGAAGGACCGGCGTGGGAGAGGGGAGGGGAAGGGGAGGAGGACCCCCAGGGACGGATGCGCATTTGAGTTTCCCGCCCCCCCTGGGACTCCTCCCCAACTGGGGAGGGGGACCCGAGGAGGACCTGCGCGCCGGAGAAGGACCGGCGTGGGAGAGGAGGACCCCCAGAGGCGATGCGAATCTGACCCTCCCCCCACCCCCCCCGGGACCCCCCCCCCCGCGGGACCGGACAGACCCCCCACACATGCCGACAGGGTCGGCGCATTTTTCCCAAAGGCATCAGCATGCTAAGCATCGATGGGGAAGATTTAGCCAGAAACCTACACGACGGGTCCTCAGAGCCACCGACGAGGGAAAGGGCGAGGAAAGGGTGGACACCGCAATCGACGTGTGCATGGCAAGGGTTTTGCCGCGTTTTTGGTGACCCTTACGGATGCCGATTATGAAGAAACTTTCCTGGGGAAGGGTCAGGGTCGACGCCGTGCGACTGGGAGAGGAAAGGGCCAGAAACTCAGCCCCATGGGCCGATCTAGGAAGATGAAGCTATGCAATCGTTGCGGGAGTGGCAGTCATTTTCGGGATCAGCGCGCCATGAAAGGAAAGGGAAAGGGGGATGCCGCTGCCCATGTGACGGCTCAAGATACTGCTGAGAACGTGGGGTACGTCGCTTGGCCAGCGTTCGACACCCCCCTCTGCGGGGGCGCTCCCCGCTCTTTGCTCTTTCAGGCGCGAGGCCATGAGCCACGCCCTAACGGACCTTTTCCTCGGCTTCCCGAGCGGCGACATCGGGGGCGAGATGGTGGTACATGACTGGGGCATCTCCGAAACTGAGACGGCCCCTGCAACAGATGAATACCCCCGAGAAGCAAGCTTGTTTGCCCCAGTAAACGACGAGGTGCGAGGGGGCACGCTTATGACGCCAACGAGTGACGCAGTGTGTGGAGACACGCTGGGGCAACGCACGGGCTGCATCAATGACATCACGGCCGACGACTTGTTTGACGCTGGCTGGGGCCTTGTCAGGACTGGGGCTTACATGGCGTTCCGAGGCCCGCGTGCCCGCTCGCGTGCCCCCGTGGCGGCGCCGAGCTGTTGGGGCGGCCCGCCGGTGGGTCGACCGCCGCCGCTGTCCCTGGAAGAACTGGGTCATTGGGCCAGCAGGGGCTGGACTCCTGAGCAGGTGCGTCATGGGGTTCTCTGCAGGCTTACGCACCCGCAAATGCGCAGATAAACGCAACTGCAAGCGGGAACGCATGACACTGCGTTCAAACGAGCGCATCCGCGAATGTTTCCCGCATCAGGAGCATCGTCCGAATTGTCCCATGGATCTGGACAGTAGGTCCCCCCACAGGGAATCACACCCTGGGGATGATGTCGCGGCGACGGCGTCACAGAACACGTGGAAGCGACGTCCGAGTCCGAACGCATCCCCTACAGCGACTCCGACTACGACCGACTTGCCTAAGAATGGGTCGACCTCTCCGCCAACCACGAACTCAAGGGGCAGAGTCGTGAGTACCATGGTGGTGATGGCCGCGGAGGCGCTGAGGAAGGCGAGGGCGGAAACGCGGATGGAGAAGTGAGCGGCGACGCGGCTGGCGATGTTACCGCTGTCGTTTCCTGTGTTGTTGCCGAAGCACTCGCGGGTTCAGCAGCTACGTCATCTGCAGCTGCATCTTCTGGTCCACCAGAATTATCCACCAGGCTCGACCAAGAGGAAGGCTAGTCGAGGCGAGGCGAGCGATGGCAAAGCAAGGGATTCGACAAACGCACCATGGGCGCGGGGGGGCCACCCAGGCTCACGCCAACGCCGACCTCGCAACCTGACGACTCCGACGACTCCGAAGACTCCGCCTCCAAGACAAGGACAAGGACCGAGGATGCTGACACTGAACCCTCTCCTCTACACCGCCAGGAACCAAAAGCAAGGGGAGCACCCGTTCGGAGGAGGTACTCATGCCCACCTCGAAGAATAAGGCCAAGTCGGCCGCTTTAGGTGCAGCGGGGAAGCATGTCGACCTACTGCTTACCCCGAAGGCCCCTCCAATTGGGTGCCGCCAACAGCGCGACGACTACGACGTCTGAGACTCAGACATCATCGTCGTCCTCGTCGTCCGCGTCGGCGTCGGCGTCGTCGTCGTCGTCTCGATTTGCTACTTCGCCCTTGCCCTCACCCGCGCAGGAGCTCCGGAGCCCAGCGGGCGGTTCGCGCCGGCGCGCGCCGGCGGGGAGCTTCGCCAGCAGGCTGGCAGGAGGAGGGGGGTCGGCCTCTCGTCGGCGGCGCGCCCTGGGGGGAGTTTCCGGTGTTGCTACGAGTGCCCCTGGCCCAAGATGCCCCCAGCATTTCTAAGCAGGCCCCCGCGGCCTCCAGAGCACCCTTCACGAGGCCCAGGGTGTCCCAGGGGCTCCAAAATGGAGCGAAAAGCTGGGGGCACCTTGGGCCACGGGTACCTTTAGCAACCCCTGACCAGGGGGATGTTCGAGGTTCGAGGTTCGAGGAGCAAGAGGTCATGATAGTGATACGTTCAAAGATTTTCCAGACCTGATTTCCCAGATACCCTGATGGTCCTCACGGGTTGCAGAAACGCCGGCTGCTGGATAGTGCGGAATTCCTGGAACGTCCCGAGCCAATCTTAGCATGACGTCGATCTCGTCCCATCGAAGTTCGATGTTCGAGGGCGTTTCTGTCGGTTCTCGGCGGTTTTCCCGTTTCGGAGTGCGTCCAGCGGCTGCGCCTCGCCGAGGGCGTTCCAGGGGTGTCCGGAACGTCTCGGCCGGCCACCGGAGAGCCGAGTCTGGAGCCGTCAACCACCAGGTGTGCGAGAGGGGGCGGGCCTTCTCAGAGGGCTCGGAAGTTCCCCGGCCTCCGGTGTCCTGAAAATTGTTATAAGCTTGATGTTTTTTTCTGAAGACACGGAGAATTTATCAGAAGGCTGAGCCCCACCGCTTTTTGAGAGGGCCTTTTCCTTCTCACTTCCCCCCTCGCTCGCGGCCGACTCTTGGAGCGATTTTTTGGCACGTCTAGACGATAAAGGGCGTTACTGGGGGGTGGGGGCAGGGGGGCCGGGGGGCCGGTGACATTACGTTTTTTCGCAGGCGCTGGCTGGGAGTGCTTAGGAATAGAGCGAATCGTAGCGTTCCCTGGAGCGGGAGGGGGTGGCAGGGGCTGGCAACGGCCACGATCGCGAAGCACAAAACGCGTTCTCTTGCCGCTCTAGTCATCAACAATCACTGCGGGAGGTTGCTGGTGCTATCCAGCGTCTTGGGGCGTTTACCGGGCCTCGCGACCTGCAACAAAAACGACTGAGGATGATAAACTGGTCCTGGGGACAGGGTCGAGACTTCGTTTCGAAAATATCATGGCGTTGGGGATTCTGGGGTGCGAGCCCAGAACGGTCTCCCCAGCATGCATTGGCTGGTGAAATGGGATTTCCCCCCCCCCCCCCCGCTGCAGCTCCCTGATGCCGCGCACCAACTGTCACTCTTGCCTTTTCAGGGTCACTCTTGCGCGTGGCCTGCCTTGAGGATTAGTACCGATTTGATCCAAACCGGGCGTTTTTTGTTAGATTTCGGTTTTCGGGGCTCGTCGACGGGCTCCGGGGCCACAAAACTGCCCCCAAAAGGAAGTGGCTCGGGAGTTTTGGGGCCACTGCAAAAGTCAAGTCGGAGAATGTCTGGGAATAGCAAACAGCACAAGCCCTGATGTGCAGAGACCCCATCTTGGGGGAGCCGACCCTGTGCGGTGGCACGCCCGAGCGTCGTCCAGTGGCGGATGGCGCTCGGGCGTGCCACCGCCCAGGGGTCTGCCGACCCCGGTGGGTTCGGTGGTCCCATCTCCGCCTCCGACCATGGGCTTTCCGCAGATGTGCGGATTATTCCCAACCATCCGGTGGTGTCTGGCCCTCCTTCCGAAGAGTCAGCGCCCCGCGTTCCTTCCTCCTTCCTTCCTCCTCCTCCCTCTCTTCCCTCTTCTCCCTACTTGCCTCTGCCCTCCGCATGTCCACCGTTCCTTATTGTTCTTCTCCTCATCATCCTCATCATCATCACCATCATCATCATTAGCATCAGCATCATCAACATCATCGTCATCGTCGGCATTACCATCGTCGTCATCATCATCAGCATCGTCGTCATCATCATCAGCATCATCACCATTATCACCATCATCAGTATCATCAGTATCATCGACATCGTCATCGTCATCATCATCATCATCATCATCACCACCATCACCACCATCATCATCATCATCGTTATCATCATCAGCATCAGCATCGTGATGGTTGTGTCATGTTGCAGCCCGCCCAGGATATATCAGGAGGCGAGAAGTGCTACAATATACATAAATGTATATGTGTATATATATATAGATATAGCTGGCTGTCTCAGCTTATTATGTGTATGCTCTCGGCTTGCAGCCGCCGAGGCTCTTGGCCTTGGCGGGGGACGGTGGGGGGGCCGCGAGAAACTTGAAAGGTTTCGGAGCACAAACGGTTGCGGAGCGAACGAGAGGCACACCCGAGGCACGCGCACAGCGCGCGGGGAGCCCCCGGACCAGGCCTCCGGGGCTCCAGAAACCAGGCCACGGAGCCCGCCCGTTTCGGGGGCCGGGGGAGCACAGGCGCCCAAGGCCCCACAATAACGCCAGCAGCCACCTACTCGTTCCTAGAGGCTCCTAGGCTCCACCCGGGAAGACTCACGATCCCACCCCAACTGTACATTTCCACATCAGTATTCATTCTTTGACTCATGAACCCATGATGGTGGTGTCATGTTGCAGCCCACCCAGGATTTTTACGTATTTGGAGGCGTCAAGTGCTACAATGTATAGTTGGCTGTCTCAGCTCATTATGTGCATGCTCTCGGCTTGCAGCCGCCGAGGCTCTTCCCGCCCCCGCTCGCGAGCCTTCTGAAGGAAATGCAAGTTGACTCTGCACCCTGCGCTTACAAAATGAAAGCCCTGCGTGACCCAAACGAGAAGATCACTGGCACACTTGACAGTCGGAGCAGACTCGCCAGCTCACTCTCGCTGTGTGCCCTCCAAAAATTCCAGTGACACGTCACTGGCCAGACACGATTACTTGCAACACGCTCTTGACTGTAAGATAAAGCACGCGCACACATCGGCGGCCAAGGTTCACCCAGGCTCCTGGGAGCCTTGCTGCTGCCAGCTCCTTGTCTGACGTGGATACGAACTTGATCGCCGGCAGGGGAAGGCGGCTGAACGTGTCGTTTGGCTGCTGTATAATGGCCTCTCTCTCTGCCCACACGTCGAGGTCGAGGGCTTCCCAGACCAGGTTGGCCCATCTGGCCTCGAAGGACACCTGGTGGTCAACCACATGGAGGCCGAAGAACCTTGATGCGAGCAGGTCGTACGTCACATGAAGCTCGCGATACTGCCCTGGCCAGCGTAGCTCCTGCCAGGACTCCTGCGCGTGCGGAATCGACACCGACGCGTCCTCCAGGGCGGGGTTGGCTGCGTCCGCTCCAGGGGGCGGCGTAGCCACGTCGAGGAAGTCCGTCCGGATCCACTTGAGCAGCACGTCGGGGTCGTCTGCTATGCGTTCCGCATGGCGTTGATGTGCCGTAAGGTTGACCAGGCCGACCCCGCGCCAGGCCTCGTCGAGCAGGCTCACGGATATCTGCCGTTTTGATGGCTTCTCGGATGGACGTGGAGGCATATTGGATCCTTTAGGTCCTTTAGGGCCGTCTTGGAAGCCATCTTGGACGATCTTGGATGCCATCTTGGGCCATGTTGCCCGGCTTGGAGGCGCGCTCTGTCGAAGTCCCAGGGGGAGTTATATGACAGAACCAACAACCACCTGAAGTCTAGCACGCCGGGCACCCCTACGGCAAGACCACAGGGGGCGGCGGATCCCCCCCTTTCAGCCCATCCCGCCCGCCACCGCGTCTGGGTTGTATGACAAAGGCCTCTCGCGGCCCTCTTGGCCCGTTTTGGGGCGCTTGCGGCTCCGAAAAAGTCTCGTTGGAAACGCCAGGGAACCACGAGGGGCACGCGGGGAACCCTGGAAACTTCGAGAACTTCGGCCCCAGGCCCCGAATGCTCAATCCAACTTCAAGGGCCAATCTTTGTTCTTCTGGCGATGACTACCGCTGTCGGGGGGGGGGAGGGGGTGGGAGGGCGCCTGTAACGTCATGATTCGCGCCGGCGCCGTCTGGGAATTGGCTACCCTTACCAATTCTCAAACATTCGCTGGCGCGAACGGTGACGTTACCAGTTGGGGGTGGGGGGAGGGGGGGGCATCTCCAGTAACGGCCGTTACCGCCAATCGAAGGAGCCGCGCTCCAGCCCGTGCCTCGCGGCACGGTGGCGGACTCGCCCCCTGTGTCGTCCGATCCGTGTGCAGGCGCGGCGCGGCCGTCGGCTGGTGGGCCTGCTGGGCGCTGCGGGGCCGCTGGGCCGCCGGGCGTGGGCGCCTGGTGGCGTCGAGGCCCCTGTTGGGGGGCGGGCCGTCGATCTTGACGTCGTCGTCGTCGTCGTGGTCGCCGCCGTCGTCGTCGTCGTCGTCGCTGTCGTCGTCATGGTCGTGGTCGTCGTCGTCGTCGTCGTCGTCGTCGTCGTAAATGGCCGTTCGGATAGGCGCCCGCACGTGTCGAGGTGTCGTGCAGACGGGGTGGCGCAAATTAGGTGGATTTCTTGGGGGTCCCAGGCGCAGGGTGATGACGGACCGCGCGGGGACCTCGACGTCCCAAGATACCTCACCGAGCGGTCCCGTTACCGCACAGTCTTCTTCGATAGCATATCAGGGGAGTCTTGTATACCGTAGCAATTATGTTGTTAGCGTGCATGCGCGTCGATCAGAGCCTGTAAGCGATGATCTAGTACCGGTTTAGTGTCGATTAGCGTTGATGTAACATTGATTGGCGTCGAGTCGCAAGAGCGGACAATAGGGTAAAGGCTTCCAGGAGTTGCTCCCGCAGTCGTGGGACCTCAGAGGCCTCAGTCGCCCGAGACGTCCTCGCGACCCGATTCCTAAAATTGCGCGGTGATCTCAAGCCCCCACCGAGTCACCACGCGGTGTGGTCACCACACCGATTGGAGGCCCCAGAATGTCTCCTCGCCGAGCTAGTCTGCCGCCCAGAGTGTTCGCACCACGGCGATGTGAGCCAGCGTGATTGTGATAGCAGCGTGCGGTGTAGCGTATCCGGTGTTTGTGCAGTCTTCCGCCCGATTTCAGTTTCAGAAGGCTCAGGGGGGGGGGCAACAAGACACAGACACAAGAAAACGTCGGTTCCCACGAAAATATGGGAAGCTATGGGAAGTGCAGTGGAAGACGACAATTCACGAAAGGCGGAAACATATGAGGGATACTGGGATTGTGTCTATTTGTTTGTGTGTGTGAGTATGCTTCAGGATTCCTCGTGCACATCCGCACATCCCGTGCCAATCTCATCGTTGCACCATTCCCGTCCTGGTCAAGGAATCGAGTAGGGGATGGACTACATAATTGATTAAACCCAACACTGTGTCCCCATCGAATTTACAGCACGAATACGTAGAACGTTCGTAGATCTACGGAGCATTCTGCGCATTATTCAAAGATTCGACGGGAACAACAAGTTTTGGCAATTCTGTAGTCGATCCCCTACTCGAAGAAACGGGTCCTGAGGATAACGAGGAATGTGTTTGATAGTGTCGGCCTCACTGGGCCCCGGGACTGTCAAATCCACTCGGGTGATGAAAAGCCTATTCTTGGGGAGTGGGTCCAGACCTCTGAGGGTCCACGTTGCGAGAACAGCACGACGTCCGGGGTCTGGGAACGGGTCTGGGAAGCGGGTTCCAAAGCGTTTCACCGTTTTGGGGCTCCAAGGGCCCTCGACAAGGCCTGGCGTTGTCAGCAGACAGCTCAAGACGAACAGCCAGTCCTGGGGGAAGGGCCCAGGGGCCCGTTTCTCTCAGGATTTGTTGGGTCTCTGCCGGCGATCAACGATCGCGGCCTCAGCGCCTGCTTGAGGTTGAACGTATGAGCTTGAAGCTTGAAGCGTGATCGGTTCGCTCGCTGGCAGTGTCACGCTACGCCCTGGGCCCCGGGCTCACGCTGCCCCTTCCATATTCAAAAGTTCCAGGCCAGCCTTTTGACGCTTGCATCTTGTGCTGTTGGGCGGCGGTGGGAGGAGTGGGCGGGACGAGGATGAGAGGGGGTTCATTGTGAGGTCCAGGGAGCAGGACAGGATGCGGGAGAGGTCGAGGAGGAGGAGGAGGAGGAGGAGGGAGCAAGCGGGGAGGCCAACGGTCAAGGGAACGGCGGGGGCTGGCATGCCAGAGATGTCGGGCGGAAGGGGCAGGGGGGCAGGGGGGCAGGGGCAAGCACAGGGTCAACCGCGCGGGCGACGGGCCAGAATAGAAACAGCGTAGGGCGGGACGCGCCCTACAGTCGGCACTGATTAGTAGGTCGATCCTGCCAAATCAAGGGTACCCTTGTGTCCTGTGTCTCGCGACCCATGCCTCCTAAATTCCTATGGCAGTGTGGCACTCGGAAGGGTCGTGTGTCCTCTCGCGTGTCCTGTCCAATCAAGTCCGACTGTAAATCCCTCGCCCTCGCCTTCGTCCTTCCTTCTCATCCTCGCCGTCGTCGGACCTTCCTCTGCAACTCTTCCCCCCCCCCCGGGTCGCGAGTCGCAGGAAACCGGAGGCTCCCGATCTTCCCCGAGGGCATCTTTGCGCCCCTCGGTCAATATTCGGCGGTCCCCGGGCCTGATGAGGGGCCACGGGGTGCGAAATCGAGAACCCCTAGGTAATTGAGCAAGTCATGTCTCGTCTGGTATCTGGGAAGGGGGGTGGTGCAATCGCACGCCGGGCAGCACCCGCGGAGGGCGAGGTCCCTCTCTGAGTCTGGCGCATGTGCCCGAGGCTGGCCGTGGCCAGAAAACCTCCCTCGTTCCTGATTTGGCGTTCCTTCTGGTGGCACGCCGGTTATAGTAGGTCGACCCTTCCAAGTCAGGGGTGCCCTTGTGTCCTGTGGTCGTCGCCTCATGTCTGCTGCATTCCAGGGCCAGGGGTAATTTGGGTCAGAGGCCACGTTGCCCACGGGCGAGCCTGCTTTTATCAGACTCGGCTGAAGGGCGAGGGAAGAGAGCACCCAGGACAGCACGAGGGGAGCGCAGCGCGAAGAGGAAGGGATGAGAAGCTGCAGGCATCCCTGATGGGGGTCCTGGTAGATGGAACGGCGATGCATCGGCGATGCATCGGCGATGCGGCTCGATGCGGAGCCCGCCCGAAAGCTGAATGGATGCCTCGTTTATCCTTTGAGCTACCCGTGTGTGTGTGTACCCCGCGGGCTAGCGGCCACTCCGCGCCGTGTGCCAACACTCCGCAGGGCCAGCACTCCGAGGAAGCACAAAACTCCCATACCGTTGCTCTTGCCTCGCTTTCCCCTTTTGGGGGCCTTCGGGAGGGGCCCCCGTCGCCACTGCTGGAATCGCTTCGAGATCCTGGTCAGAGTGCGCCCGATGAGAGGTCCGGGGAGTGGGGGTATGGATGCCTCGTGGGCTCCCCAACAACACCCCGCAGGGAGGCGGGGGCGGAGAGGGAGCAGTGCGTGCTCGCTTCGTCGCCTCGAGGCGGGAGCGCGAGGGGGCAGAGCGTGGGGAGGTGCAGAGATCGTTTCGATTCCTCCGATTCGATTCGATTCGATCTCGATGGCTTCCGTTTCCGATTCGATCCGACTTCGGATTCCGATGTGGATTCCGATTTCTCCATGGAGGCCTACTAGCCTGTCGATTTCCGCCGGTTCGGCTTCTCCCGACTCGGCTGCCGATTTCCGCCGATCCGATTCATTTCGATCGCCGATCCGACTTGTCGATTCGTTTCTGGGCTCTGCTGCGGGAGCCCAATCTTTTCCACGCGGGCGTCGCCGCTGCATCGCCGACGTCGCCGATGCACCGCCGATGCGGCGAGATCCTCCGACCCCATCTGCTCCGACCCCGTCTGAGAGGCCTCTAATGCCGGGGCCGCGGGATCAGGTCGACTCGGCGGACGTAAACGTCATGCTCCACACGCGTGGGGCCCATATGGACCACAAGGGCGGACCGTTATAATTAGTCAAGACGCTGAAATATGGACCTCTTCGGGCTCGGGAAGGGCTCTGGATTGCGGGCCGCTCCTTAGATCCAGGTCGGGGAACTTAATCGTTGCCGAGTCTCGCCGGGGCCACAACGATTAGTTCGTTCTTTTTAATCGTTCGTTGTGGTACCACGATGATTGTACGCTCAAATGCCAGCCTTGGCAGCGTTGGACCTTTTCTGTTCAGTCTCAAGTGCTCGCGCTGCGGGGGAACGGAACTCGCGCTCGTCGTCGTGATCGTCGCCTCGTCGTCACGGTTGGCCGAGGTCGTCGTCCTCGTCGCCCCCCTCCCGCGGCCGTCGGCAGGCGCCGCCTGGGCCTCCTGCGGCTGGCCCTCCGCCTGTGGGACGAGGCCCTCCCTGCCCGCGTCCCCTCCCGCAGGGTGGTCTTGGAGCCGGCTGGTGGTCCGAGGTGGCCCAGCCCTGGCTCTGGCCAGCTGGCAGGGGGTCAAGGTTCGAGGTTCTGGGTTCGGTGAGCTTTCTTTTTGTTTTGCCTGTTTCTGCTTCTGAGGACCGTGCTCCAGGGCCGTCAAACACGTGTCCGGGGTGACAATCTGCGCCAGATGGAACGTGAGAGGGGTCCAGTGACCGATTTTGAGCGCATCTGGCTCCATCCCCCCCTCCTGATAGTTCAGACCCCCTGGCCGCCTCCAAGGGTGATTGCTCCTCCAGGAGGGGGCCCCTCCCCAAGTTGGGCCCCTCCAGCCGGTGGGCCCTCCCTCCTTGGCGGCAGTCGGGACTCGAGAGCAGCTGCGGGAGGCCTCCTCTTTCCTCCCTCCCGCTCACTATTTTCAGTGATTGTTTGCGCCTTCGAGGGGCCCCTCCCCAGGAGGCCTCCAGGAGGATGGCCCTCGGATTGGGACATTTCTCTGGCGGCTGGGCCTGGATTCTGTTAGGACCCCCAGGACTTGTCGGTCCGAACGTCTTCGGTACCTAATGGTTGTGTCAAGCCACGCGCAGAGTGGGTAGGGGGAGGGGGGAAGGCTTCTGAGAAACAGCCATGTTTCTTCGAAGGCGCGGGCCTTATCCATAGATTTAAACCCCGCGACTTCCCAGAAGCAGCCTCCTACGAAGCCTTCCCCCCTCCCCTTGAGAGGGCCCCTCTGGGAGCGGGGCGCCCCCTGGAGGAGGGCGCCTCCAGGAGGAGGGCGCCTCCAGGGGGAGGGCGTCCCCAGGAGGAGGGCGCCTCCAGGAGGAGGGGGCCTTCACGAGGAGGGCGCCTCAAAGAGGTGACAGAGGCGGGAGAGGGGGCGAGGGACCGCAAGAAGATTTCTCTGCATTTTGAGCGCAAGTTGCGCGTTCAAAGTCTAACTTGGGGCGAGTCACGACATTGATCTAGCTAACCAGGCTGAACCCAGTGAACTGACGAACGGACTTGTAGGGAAAGAGAAGGAGGAAGAGGAGGAGGAGGAGGAGGAGGAGGTGGAGGAGGAGGATTGAGGGTTTTGAGGTTTCCAAGCTGTCCCAGGTGGTTCTGGGGGGCGAAGGGGTGCGTACCCTGACTTTGCGGTGCCCTCCTACGTGCGTACCCGGACTTTGCAGGGCCCTACCGCCGCGCTCCTGCAGGGGCCGCCCTCCAGGACGTCTTCGGCGCTCCGCTCCGCTTCTCCGCGCAGCCCCGCTCCCACTCCTCAGAGCACAGCCCCACTCCCTCTTCCGCTATCCCTGCTCCTCCCCCTTCCACTCTTCTTCTCCCTCCTCCATTTCCTCCTCCTCGCCTCCTCCTCCCTCCTCCCTCCTCCTTCCCCCCCCACCCCCAGCCACAACGTGGGTGAGGCAGTCATGTCGAATGGGTGCCGCGACTGGGGGTGGGATTTCGGGGGCCGCCCCACGCTCGAGAGCCAGCCTCAGCTGCCGCCGAAATCTCACACCCACGGCGGTTGTGAGCTTTCGGCGGGGTGCCGGGGCCCGGGGCGGAGGCCTCATTCCTCCTCCTCCTCCTCCTCCTCCTTCTCCGCCTCATCCTCCGCCTCCTCCTCCTCTTCCCAAATCAAAGGGGGAGAGGAGGAGGCACTACTGCGACCCTACTGGTGCAACGACGTCCATGTGGACACACAAGGAGTGGAAACTACATGTGCTCAGAGGTTTTTAACATACGCGGCCCTTGCAGGGCACCGACGGGGGGTACGGGAGATGCCACAGGGACAAGTCCAAGTGGGCCCACCCCATGCAAGAACCCAGGACACTACCATGTAGAATGTGTACTCATCAGGCTCAAACCATAGAGGAGTACCAGGCGCACATACGAGGACATCTCGCGGGGCCCGAGCAGATCAGAGCAGCCAAAAGTGGTGCTGCCCACAGCTTCAAACGCCCTGGACGATCATTTGGAATGGAGGGTCAGGCGCTCGCCGCCGTCTGGCCCAGAAGAAGTAAGACCGCAGGAGCAGGCCAACATCGGCGAGGGCAGCAGCAGCAGTCAGGCGAATGTACCAGGAGCCCGAGGAGGAGGACGAGGTCGCGGACCCCCAGGAGCTGGAGGCCATGGCGGGGGAAGAGAAGGAGTGCAAGGCGACCTACGAGACAGCATACGTGCACTACAGCGGCTGGCTCTACAGAGCGCGGCGGCAATGCGCAACTTCGCCCACCTCACCAGCGAGCTCTTGCTGGCCATCCTCGCGGAAGAATGGACCCAGGCACCGATCGAGACGGGCCGCGAGTACGACAGGAAGGCGAAGGCAAAGGGCAACGGCCACGGATACGGCCCCCCCCCACACGGCCATGTCGCAGCCGCCTTCGTGGAGGGCATAGTCGAGGCGTTCAAGACCAAAGTGCAGGACAACGACCAGACGATGCAGCACGTCACGAAGACCCTCACGGAGTTCATGGGGCAGCTGGACCAGCCCTGGGGGCCGACGTTCGTGACAACAGGTTTTCCTGCAGTGCAAGATCCAAGAGGCCTGCAAGCCCACGGACGAGGAGATGGAGACGGAACCGCGCAGAGTCAAGACCATGCATACTATCAACACGCCGCAGTCGTTCAGGACAGCACTATTCGAGCAGAGCCTCGACCAGGCCCAGAGCGAGAGGATCCTCGGCTTCAGGGGGGACATGTTCAAGCAGTCCCTGGGGGTGGCGCTCGCGTTCCTTGGCGCCAAGAAGACCCGCTCGGGGGGGGCACGACGGGACTGGAGAGGGTAGCAGGAGCCCAGCTAAGCAGGCGCCGACAGTAAGCCAGCCGCAGCCACTAGAGCAGATCAGAGGCTCTTAGCAGCCAGAAGTTGCAGGCCCCGCGAGCGCCTCTTCAGGACCCTCGGGACGAAGGCCTTCCAGTGACAGGCCCCCCTCAGCCCCGCCGCGCACCAGAAAGGCAACCGACCAGCGATGCAGATCAGCAGCGACCACGAGCGATGCACGATGCCAAGAGACAACGCGCCACGACTTGGGGGCCACATGGCCGACATACCACGCATGGCTATTTGCTATCGGGAACTACGTTCGAGGGAATACTACCAGGCCATGGGGCCACAGTGCGATCTGGTTGAGCACAAACTTTTGCCAACCTGATATTACAGATGCGGTCTACCCCCCCCCCCGCGCGCCACCACCTCCATCGCTATTCGGCGCAGTGGCCCCAGTTGCAGGACTAGGCAGACAGCTTCTGGAGACAGGGTCCCACGACAGCAGTATGTGTACGAGTACGAGAGGACCTACTACATACGGTAACCACAATGTGACGGCAGCGGGCCGACAACGGTGACACACTCACCAGAAAGGGGGTTCAAGGGCTCACAGGGACAGCCGCAACGAAACCTCGAGAGATACAAGAGAAGCCGTGCCAGGACCAACCAGGACATTAAGCGCCAGGAGTTGGAACGGACGGGGATCTCAGCGTTGCCCCGATTTTCGGTCTCCTCCCACAACCACCGACAGAACTACGGTCCCGCGCCTGCTCCCCCCCACTACGTTGCGCTCCCCATTCAAGGTCACAGCCAGGCCAGGAACAGGGCGACTGGCGACAGGTTCCGACTCCGACCCCGCAAGGTTCGCCTCCCACTCGACCAGAGTTAACAGCGTCGTCCCCGCGTGGGACTACAGTTGGAGCTACTACCGACGCCGCGGCCAGTCGGCACGGCGCAGCTGCGCAGCCCAACGGCCTGGGCGGCGGCCGTAGCGGCCGAGTCCCAATCCCCAGCGCAGGAGACGGTGATGGACATGGAAGAGGTGGCGGTCCAGAAACAAGCTGAGCGTGGAGGCGGACCAGGAGGCCACGTCTTCGGAACCACGCAGTACATCGCGGAGAAGTGCCACAAGACGCTGCAGAGCACCAGCGCGAAGCGCGACGACATCATCCAGCACGGCCAGATGGTACTAAGTGGCGCGCACAAGCAGCAGGAGCGCATCACGATGAGCCCCGCGAGGATCACGGCCAGCAGGAGCCCGAACCAGTGCGAGGAGATCGAGAGGACCCACGTGGCTGAACTACTACGGCAGCAGCTGCACGAGAACAACAAGGCCGCCGAGCCTTCTCGAGGGGTTGAGACCGTTCTCAGCAGCCAGAGTCGGCCCCACCAGGGGTCTTTCCCATGGCAGCTGGATTACGAGAGGCCACCGATCGATGAGCTCGATCGAGGACTGCTGCGCTAAGTGGACGGAGGGCAGCCGCGGATGGGGATGCGACGAGGTGAAGACGGCGGGCCAGAGCTGGTTCAGCAGTCTGCAGCAGGCGCATGACAGCACCAAGCAACAGCGCCCCAAGTGTTTGTTTGTCGCCCAGCAAGAGCATCCAGGGGTGGAAGCCGCGCAGCGCTGCCATCGCAGCTGCAGATCCAGCCCCCGCCCCCCGCTGGCTCCGGACCCGAGCGGGGGCCTCCGCTTCTTCGACGCCGCTGTCGCCGAGATGGCGGGGCGGGGGCCGGGGCTGCTGTCGCGAGCCCTGAATCCAGCCAGCGCCCGCCATCATCTTTTTCTTTCGGGCCCGCCTGTCTCGCAGAGACCGCCAGCTCTAACCTGACAATGGGGCCCGCGACGCGGCGCTAGCAGTAAGGCGGGCCCCGCTGCGCATCAGTCCAGCAGGCCAGTTTTTTTTTTGAGAGGAGAACGGGCGGGGGGGTGAGGGGTCGGGGGGGGGCTCTCAGCGGGAAGGGGCCCGCCTCCGCGGGGAGGCGCCCCCGCTCGCCTGCGTCTCGCATCCAGCTCGCGAAAGCAGGGCCCCCTGCGCCAGGCAGCCCCCAGGACTACCATAACAGTAGTAATGGGAGCTTGCGTCCATATTTTCACCCCAGGGGCCCCGCCTTTCTTGAGTAGGCGGAGTAACTCAGACCCCCAAGGGCCTGAACCTGATCCATATCCCTATCCTCCTCCTCCCTCCTCCTCCTCCTCCTCCTCATTATCCTCCTCCTCCTCCTCCTCCTCCTCCTCCTCCTCCTCCTCCTTCTCCTCGCCACCCCTGTCCTGGCGCTCCGTCTGCCAGGGGTGCCAGCGGGTGCCGCCGCCAGATGGGGGGGTCATGTTGGATCACCATCAGACATCGAGAAACATGGGGCGTCGAGCGTCAGGCGCCAGAGGTCGGCGGGAGGGGGAGATCGTGCTGCCTCGCGCGACTTGATGCTCATGCAAGCAATTGAGTTGGATCCGTGCGTCGATCAGTTTTACAGAAGGCGTTGTAGAAGCTACGGTGTTTCTTTCTGATTGTGGGCCCGCTTTGAGGCCAGCCCATGCCCACCCCGCCCTGTCTCCAGGGACTTCGCCTCCGTTTATCATGGTGGGATGGGGAGACGGTTGCCGCCCCCTGCGCTGCACGTGTTGCTTTGGGTTAGTGGGGATTTCTGTCGAAGTATATGAAGATGCCTTCCGTCCCTCCCCTGCCTTCCTACTCTTGGTCTTGTCGGCGATGGCTCGGTCCTGTCAGGGTGTCCGGAAATCTTGGGGGATGAGAGATACCCGACGCGGTGAGTTTGCACAAGCCCCCGAGCCCAACGCGATACGCACGCCCACTCGGCGCGGATAGGTCGGTATATCTAAAGGATTGATGTTCGCAGAGGCTTTTCGAACCTAACACTACAGCGGATGGGTGCACGCCTAGTTTCTGAGGGAATGGGGCGATACCTCCCCAAACATTGTTTTTGCAGAGCACGTTGTATTCAATTGTGCCTTCGTAGTCGCGCACAGCTTCTGCTCCAACCGCTTCGGTCGTCGTGAAAGTTCCGTTGCTGCTTCTGTGTGGGGGATCGTCTTCGGGCCACAAAACCGAGGACACAGGGCGCGGGTTGAAAGAACCGCCGGTTCGGAGAGGAGGGAGGGGGGCAAAGGGGAGAGGGCAGAGCCAAGGAAAGGCAAAGGAGAGGGGGAAGAGGGGCAAAGGGAAGGAGGGACGGGGGGAAGAGGCAAAGACAGGCGATGCACCCACGCCGACGACGTGACCCGCGGGCTCGGCACTGGCGCAGCCTGGAGAAAATGGGGGAAACAGGACCTAGGCGGACCAATGGCGCATAACCCGGGGAAGCATTGGAGAACCCCCCTTTTCTGGTGAAGCGATAACGACGCACCCAAAACTCTGAAGCGTTAGCCTTGCACCCTGGCACGCGGTCGTTGCTTTGCACTCTTCTGGAGAACCCAACGATCCTCGGAAGTGGCGACAGTTTTTCGCAGTTCGCAGCCCCCCCAGGGCTGGCGAGGTCTCGCTCCGATCCGCGTAGCACCAGACTAAGCTGGGCCCGTCAACACTAATACGATTGCCAACGACGACGACGAAGACGACGACGACGACGACGACGACCACGACGACGACGACGACGACGACGACGCCGACGACGACGACGACGACGACGACGACGACGACGACGACGACGACTACTACTACTACCACTACTACCACTACTAACACTACTAACACTGCGACTCCTCCTCCTCCGTCTCCTCCTCCTCCTCCTCCTCCTCCTCCTCCTCCTCATCCTCATCCTCATCATCATCATCATCATCATCATCATCATCATCATCATCCTCATCCTCATCCTCATCCTCATCCTCATCCTCATCCTCATCCTCATCCTTCTCTTAATGTAGTGGCCTCTGGCCAGTGCCGCCGATCCGGGGTGCTTCCGATTTCGCGTGAACAGCCAAACTCATGGGACGGCCCCTTCCACCTTCAGGGCCTGAGTGGCGTCAGCCATGGCGTCAGCCCCCGCCCCCCCCCGACTCCCCCGTCCCGGGCGTGAGTGGCGTCAGCCATGGCGTCGGCCCTCGCCACCCCCCTTTCCTCTCCCGAGCCTGAATGGCGTCAGCCATGGCGTCAGCCCCCTCCCCCCCCCCGACAGAATGAAGCTTGAACGAGCTCCCCCGTCCCTCCCCCCACTGGGCCTGAATGGCGTCAGCCATGGCGTCAGTCCTCCCCCCCCCTCTCCCCGACTCCTCCCTCGCGGGCCTAAATGGCGTCAGCCATGGCGTCACCCCCTCCCCCTCCCCCCTCCCCCCTCCTGGGCCTGAATGGCGTCAACTATGGTGTCAGCCGCCTTCCCCCCCCGACAGAGCGAAGCTTGAGCGAGCTACCCCCCTCCCCTCCCCCCTCCCGGGTCTGAATGGCGTCAGCCATGGCGCCAGCTCCCCCCCCCCCCCGACTCCCTCCTCCCGGGCCTGAATCTCCCCCCCCTTCCCCCATCCTTGACCTGAATGACCTGAATGGCGTCAGCTATGGCGTCAGCCCCCCTCCCCCGACAGAACGATGCTTGAGCGAGCTCCCTCCCCCCTTCCCCCCTCCCGGGCCTCCATGGCGTCAGCCCACCCACCCCCGATTTGGAGGCTATCTTTGACGTCTTGAACCCATCGTTCGGCGATTCGGACCCCTCTTGGACCATGTTGAGGGGCTCTTGAGCCACTCCTGGCTCGTCTGGAGGCTTGCGTTGGTCCCGGGACCCTCCGAGGGAGATGGCATTCTGACCCGGGACCCCCCCCCCGCGACGGCGTGATTGTTGCACAGCGTGGCTCATCCCACAGGTCTGGCGGATTTTCCCTGGATGCTGGTGATGGTGGCACCGGAAGCGAGATCCGCAAAAGGGATCTGACGAATCCACAGTAGGCACAGCAAATCAGACATTAAACAATTGACGTGCCAGCGTGTGCCCAACGGGGATTTCTTATTCGCTGGCTTTCCTGAACATCCGCTGGCATGCTGCGGGGATCCTCTGATGTCCAATTCGACCGAACAGTGTGCCTTGGCAGGACAGAGTACGGACCGTACCATGGCCCACGGGCACGCTGGTGGTGTGCAGATGTCTTCTGCGTATAGTGCGACAGGCAGGCAGTCTGATCGAGTCAAAGCTCGGCCCAGAACTGGGCGCGACTGTTTTGACCTCGGGCATCACTGTTGAAGCCCGGGAAAAAATGCACGAAGTCTTCGTCGTGCTCGAGAAAGTCATTGTCCAAACCCACTCCATACCATCAGGCCGGACTTCCTGAACGGGGCATGACGGAATGGAGTCCGATCATCGCGCCGCACTGCCGACGCATCGGCGGTACATCGGCTACGCCAGGATGGAGGAGAGCGGGTTTCGGATCGCGCCGCATCGCCGACGCATCGGCGATGCGGCTTGCGCTTCTCCGACCCCACCTGCTCCGAAACTGCAACAGCAATGCGAACACAGCACATACACACGCGCTGCGGACAAAAACGCACAAACACACACTGAGAAAAAACGCACCGTCTGTGGAACAAAAACACCGTGTGCTTTTGTTCCACTGTGTGTTTGTGTGTTTTCCACGGACTGTGTTTCATTCCGCAGTTTGTTCTCATCTTCTGAGACACCTGTCGACGCTCTGGCGCCACCGTCTGGCCCGACCGCCTGGCCTCCGTGGGGCTGCGACGACACAGGCGCAGCCTCCAGCCAGAACGAGTTGTTCCTCCACCGCAGCTCGTGTCCCAGAGCGGTTGAACAAAGATGATCTTGCGGTGGCCGGTTTGGGCGGCATTGATCGTTCAGTTGCACTGGGGCAGGCGACGCTGAAGCAGGGTCCACTTCGATTCGGTCGATCCGCCTCTAAACCGATTCCTGTTGACCCTATTCCAATTCGTCTCCGATATCCCGATCATCCGATTCGGCTCGATGCTTGTATGGCGTCGATGTGCATCCTGGCGCAGCCGATCCGATTCGATTTCGACTCCGTGCCGCTGCGGCCCGATGCGGCGCACCTTCCGGTTCGATCCGATTCGAAGAACGAAAACGGCATAAGCGTAAGCTCTCAGAGTTCCGCGCGGATTTCTTGGAACTACCCTGGGCCCCCCCTGGCGGCGCCTCTGGCGCAGCGGTGGGTGGTCCAGCGCCGATCCGAGAAATCTGCTCGGACCTCCAGGAAAGCATGCTTATGCAGTTTTTGTTGTGCTGATTTCCCGATCCGATATTGACTGATCCTGAGACGGCAGGAACGTGCGCCTCGTGCCGCCCATCGTCCGCAGACCCCTGGCCGCGCAGCTCGCCTCCCGCGCGGGCGTGAGGCGGTGGTCGCCAGCTTCCGCGAGGCCTGCGACAGCCTCCGCCAGCGCGAGGCGCACCTCGCGGCCGAGGACCACACGCGGGGCCGGGCGCTCCGTCTTGGAGCGGGCCGGGGGTCTGAGGTGGCCCAGCTTTGGTCAGGGGCAGCGATTGGGGGGGGATAGGCATAGGGGGGGTGCATCGATCCCCAATCGCCCACTGATCGCCCATAGGGGCCCGATAGCCCCAACCTGCCCAGGAGCGTGGCTGGGTCCGAGAAGTTATGTTGCCTCTCTCGATCTCTGGGGGCCGCTCTCGGGACCTAATGACCGGCAAGAACGGATCCGGCGTGAACGACTGCACACGATGGACCCAGAGAGGGGACTGGCGCTCCGCCCCTCCCCCAAAATCATAGAGTCCACTTTTCCAGACCCTGGTGCCCAGAGATCCAACGTATTGAAAAAATCAAGACGGATGTTTTTCGCAGCTTTCAGCCTCTAAGGGCTCTCGCCGGGGCCCAGGACCGTCAAAAAACGACTCAGGATGAAAAACCGGGCCTGGGGGATGGGTCGAGTTTTCCAGGGACCCCGCATTGAAATTATCACGACATCGGATTTCTCGGTACTTTGTGCTTGGCCGTCAGTGTCCCCTACCGAGAGAGTGCTGGTGGCCTTCTCGCTTTCAGCCTGCGCCAGTTTTGCCACCACCGGCGGTTTGGTGGAGTTTCGGCTCTCGGCAGGGTCGCTCGCCAGGCTGCGCCGCTGTGGGACGGCCCCGTTTGGAACCCCTTCGTAGAATCCGATCGATGCGCTTCGATATCGGGTTCGGCCGGCCCGATCCGAGCCGACTCCGATGCGCCGAGGATCCGAGGTGGCCCGATGGTTGAAGGGCGCTGTTGTGCATCCAGGCGCGGCCGATCCGATGGCTTCGTTTATGCACCGATGCAGCCCGATTCGATGCACATTCCGATTCGATCCGATGTCTCGACTTGATGTTGATTGATCCTGCCTCACGGAACAAGTCACGACGGTCGGTTCTTTAGTGTTTCCGTGGAGGTTTTGGTCGGCCCCCTTGGGGCCGTCAACGAACAGATGCCCGGGATAAACAAATGGGCCTGGTGCAAGGGGGCGGGGCCTCCATGGGGCACAGACGTCACAAAATCAACAGCTCCGACCGCCCGTCATGTCGCTCTTCCCTGTTCTCCATTGCCTCCCTCTTTCCCTCTCCTTACCTTCTCACCTTCTTCCTTCCTTCGTCCCTCGTTCTGCCCCCTCTTCCCGCCCTCTTCATCTTCTCCGTTCCGCCTCGCCCCCCCACGCCCATTTCAGTTTTCTCCGCTCCTTCTGGCCACTCCCCACTCCCTCCCACCTACTTCCCCACCTGCCCCCTCCGTCATGATTCCTCCCTCCTTGCCCCCTCATCCATTTCGCCCTCCTGAGCTTGAGCATCGGAGATCGGCCCTCCCTCCCGATCTCGAGGTGGTAATTTGGGGCTCGGCTGCTTGGAAATTCTGAGAGGAAGGCATTCGGAGCCCCGGCCAGATGCGCCGTTGCACGCGGCCCCAGACATTCTCCGACATGATCTTGTTCCATCTGCGTCACCTGCGGCCCCAGAGTTCCCGACGCCTTCCCCAAGGGTAGTTTTGCGTCCCCCAGATGCAGTTTGAGTGTCCCGGGGCCCGATCATGGGCCCCAGAGGCCGACAACGAGGAGAAGCGCTCTCCGACGGCCACGATGACCCTCGCCGCCGCACACGTCCCGTCCCCTCCGCGCTGTCGCGCTGCCGCAGACCACGAGGGGCCCGCCACGCCAGAGGATGGCGGCGCTTGCTGGGCTGCTCAGGCCGGCAGCTCGCCGCGAGCTGGCGGGCAGCGGACGCGTGCTGAGGCGCCCAGGCTCTGTGCGCCACTTGCCGAGCCGGGCTTCTCTGCGCCACAAGGGTCGTCCCAGGGCCCGAAGCTGGGCGACAACGCCGGGCTGGAGGAAATGTCAGCCACGCGCAGATGGGTGGGTATGGGGCGGGGGGAAGGCTTCATAGAGGCGCCCCTGCGGCGCAGGCCTCATCAATAGATCTAAGGCTCGCGCCTTCCGAGGAGTACCCCTGCTTCTACTCAGAAGCCTTCCCCCCTCCCCACTCCCTTGTGCGCGCCGCCAAAGATGGAGGCCAGGATGCCCAGGGGCACGGTGCCCGAGGGCGCCCGCCGCCGTGACCGCACCGCGCAGCGCCCTTCGTTGCGCGACGGCCCGCCAGCGCCCTCAGGAGGCGGCCCGGCGCCGCGGCGAGCGGGCCCGGCGCGAGATGGAGGCCGAGGCCCCGCCGTGCTGGGGAGTCGCAGGAGGAGGAGGAGGAGGAGGAGGAGGGACCAGTGTAAACCAAGAGTCATCAACGATTTTGGCATAAACCCTCCCTCCAAGCTCCCTCCTCATAGGCCCCTACAGCGGTTCATCTCCACTGAGGGAACTGCCTCGCTGGAATACACTCGTTTGCAGACCCTGAAGCATGTCAAAGCAGTGTTCTCGGGATTCCAACGCCACGGGTCAACCAAACTGTTGCTGCTTGACGATCCTGAATCGTGCCAGAACGCCATCCCTGGGATTTCAAGACCACGAATCAACGTAACGGTTGCACCCTCATCATCCCGAATCTTTCCAAAACACAATTTTTGGTACGCTGATCATGGGAATCCGTGGAACTCCTGCACATGTTTAGAACGAATGTGCGCGGCGCTAAGGCGAGCGCCACATTTTGAAAAGGAACCGCCCTTACTCCGTGAAACTCCTGCAAATTATTAAGCCGCATATGCGCGGCGCTAAGGCGAGAGTCACATTTCGTAAACGACTCGCCTCAATAAGTTTTTGTTACAATTTGTCAGAAGGAATGTGCGCGGCGCTCAGGCGAGAGCCACATTTTGAAAATAACCCGCTCTCAAGCCGTGAAACTCTTGCAAGTTTTTTAAACGACTGCGCGGCGATGATGCGAGAGCCACCTGTTGAATACCTATACGACCACCCTTCGGGTGATACGGAGGTTCGGGGGGGGGAACCAACGTCTCACTCGATCGGTCTCACTATCGATCTCAGTATCGATCTCACTATCGGTCTCGCTCGATCGATACCACTCGATTGATCTCACAATCGATCTTACTCGATCTATCTCATTCGATCGATCTCACAATTGATCTCACAATCGATCTCACAATCGATCACACAATCGATCTCGCATTCGGTCTCAATATCGATCTCACGATCGATATCACAATCGCTCTCACAATCAACGTCATCATCATCATCATCATCATCAACACCATCATCAACATCATCATCGTCATCATCACCAACCTCGTCATCATCATGAGGGCACCGT